GAGTTGTAGTTCTTTTATGAGCTCTCCGCCGGCGCGCCTGCGCAGTGCAGCCAGGGCGTTGGAAAAGCCCCCGAGCCCCGCAGCCCCCGAGAGGGCTCCAAGGCCCCGCGCTCTGCCCCTCGGGAACCCCCGAACCCCTCCGCTAAACCCTCCCGAGCCCTCCAGCCTTTCCACTCACAGTGCAGTGCACCCGCCGCCGCCTCCTCCATCACTTCCCCACAGCCCACATGGCGCTCTGTGCGCTCCCCGCCTCCAGAGAGACCCCCACACTCAATCCGCGGGCGGTCTCGCCCCCCGCTCGCCCGATGCCGCGCCCAGGCACCGGGCGAGCGGGAGAGGAAGACTTTGAGCCTTCATCCCCTGCGACCACCCGAGAGCAGCACCACAGAGAAGTGTGCAGGCGCCAGAAGGCGCGTCCCGAGATTTCCATGGAACACCGCCCACTCTGGGGGAGCTCGGGAAGATGTAAAAATGTGCAACGAATATGTATGAGCTAATTTCCCAGGAACTGGAACAGCCCTGTGTGTGCAGGGACACGGGTCAGGGGGTGCTCCCCCAGCAGCCCTCTGTCCCCACAGCAGGTTGGGAGCTCAGGGGGCCACCCCGGACCCCCCTTTCCCACCCCCCTCTGCCCCACAGCTGCTGCAGCACCAGCTGCTGGGTGGGGGGAGTCCCCCCATCAGCCCCCAGGGTTGGGGACCTGTGGAGAATCGTGACCAGAGCAAGCACAGAAAGGGTTACAGAAGCAGTGGACATTCCCAGTGCGGATCTGCCCCCTCCCAGAGCCCCAGGGAACCGCTCCAGGGCCCAACTGATGGGGGACAGGGGGGACCCATATGGGAACCCCCCTCCCTCTGTCCCCCTGCCCACTGTCCAACACCCCTTTTCTCCCCTCTCCCACCCCTTTCTCATCATCCCCACAGTCCTCAGCTCCCTCCCCGGCTCGGTTTGGGGCTGTTTCTTCCCCTCTGCCCTGCTCGGTTTCAGAGTCTCAGCCCCTTCCCTGCTCAGTTTGGAGGTCCCAGCCCCCCCTTTTCTCCCGTTCTCCCCCCCTTTTTCCACTGTCCCCTAAAAGGGAGCTGTTAAATATTGGGTGCTGAAAAAGCTGCTACATCGTGTCCATTCCAAATTAAGCCTGCATTTATTAGCATGGACTGGCATCCAAATGGCAGCAAGAAGAGTCTTCTAATTCTCTTCTTTTTAATCCTCTCTGCAGTCGCCAATTTCCCCTCGAAGCGGGCAGGAAAACAGGAACAGCCCTGGTGTGGTCGGGGAGCAGCGCTGACCCCAAAGGGCTGCATTTCCCCTGCCGATCGTCCTGCTCTGCCCTCCCCCGGGGCTGGCTCTGCCTGGCGCTGGCCGGACGTCCCGGGGCTCCTCACTGAGCAAACCCCTTCCCAAACTTCAGGGACAAGTCCAGACCCCGGCTGGCCCGGGAGGAAGCGACAGCAGCGCGGGCCGAGCGGGCGGGATGGGGTCCGAGCAGCGGCGGGAAGTTGCAAGATTGCCAGCAAAGAAGTCAAAATAAAGTGAAGAAGCTAAAAAAGCCCGTGGTCTCGGCATGGGTGCGGGAGGAAGGGGAGCTCCGTGACTCCAGCCGGGGCTGCCCCCGGGGCGCGCGGGGGCCAAACAGGGAACGGAAAAATGGACAAACGGACGAACCGACGAACGGACCAACGGCCCCGGCGCTTCGGCAGCAGCGGCGGCAGCAGCAGCGGCTCTAGCGACGCGCTCTCGGTCTTTCTCCTGCTCTTGCTCTTCCTCCTCTCCGTCTCCCGGTGTCCCTGTCCCGGTGTCCCTGTCCCAGTGTCCCTGTCCCGGTCCCGGTCCCCCCTCCCCTTGCCGGCCCGGGCCATGGCCCCGGCCGTTCCCCTCTGCCGGGCGGGGCCGCCCCGTCCCCGGCCCTGGGCGGCCCGGCGCGGTCCCGCCCTCGCCCGGCTCCCGGCGCGCCGGCTGTGGCGCTGCTGGGCGCTCCTGTGGGGCGGGCTGTGGGATGGGCTGTGGGATGGGCTGTGGGATGGGCTGTGGGGCGGGCTGTGGGATGGGCTGTGGGATGGGCTGTGGGGCGGGCTGTGGGATGGGCTGTGGGATGGGCTGTGGGGCGGGCTGTGGGATGGGCTGTGGGATGGGCTGTGGGGCGGGCTGTGGGATGGGCTGTGGGATGGGCTGTGGGGCGGGCTGTGGGATGGGCTGTGGGATGGGCTGTGGGATGGGCTGTGGGATGGGCTGTGGGGCGGGCTGTGGGGCGGGCTGTGGGATGGGCTGTGGGATGGGCTGTGGGGCGGGCTCGGCGTCGCCGCCGCTTGGCTCCGCCCGGCTCGAGCCCGGCGCCTGCCGGGGCCGGCGGGGGCCGCGGCCGCTGCCGCCTCCTCGGCGGCTTCCCCGACCAGAGCTCCGCCGCTCGCCAGCCCGGCCGCCGGCAGCGAGCCGCCGCTGCCCGCTGCGGGTGGGGAAGCCCGGCCCGGGCCGCTCGAGGGGCGCTCGGGGGCCGTGCCGGGCCCCGGCCCGAACGCTGACGGCCACGTCTCGCCCGCACGGAAGGCGAAGGGGCCCCTGCAGAAGCGCTACCGGCTGGGTTCGCTGCTGGGCAGCGGCGGCTTCGGCCGCGTCTACGCGGGGACCCGCCTGGCGGACGGAGCCCCGGTGAGTGCAGGAGGAGGAGGAGGAGGAGGAGGAGGAGAGCGGGACGGGCGAGCTCAACCCGCCGTTCCCCTTGGCTTGCAGGTGGCCATCAAAGCCGTGCCCCGGGATCTCATCCGGCGCTGGGGCGAGCTGGTGAGCGAGCGGGGCCAGCGGGAGAAAGCGGGGCGGGACGGGCGGGGACGAGCCGAGCCCGGGAGGGTGGAAGCCGCCGGGACACCTGGAGGGAGAGTGGGCGTGGGGTGGGTGGGGGACGGGGAGCATCCAGGGCTGGCAGAGGGGTAGCAGGCAGACAGGCACGGCATCAGCCCCACTGACGACCCCGTGGTCCCCCCGCAGCCCGACGGCACCCTGGCCCCCCTGGAGATCGTGCTGCTGGACAAGGTGTCCAGTGGGTTTCGTGGTGTCATCCAGCTCCTGGAGTGGTTCGAGCTCCCCAACAGTTTCTTGTTGGTGATGGAGCGTCCGGAGCGCTCTCGGGACCTCTCTCGCGTAATCACGGCGTGGAGGTTCCTGCCGGAGGAGATGGCGTGGGGGCTGTTCCGCCAGGTGCTGAAGGCCGTGCGGCACTGCACCAGCTGCGGCGTCCTGCACCGGGACATCAAGCCCCAGAACATCCTCCTCGACCTGGCCACCGGAGAGGCGAAGCTCCTTGACTTTGGATGTGCCACCTTCCTTCAGGACACCGTCTACACCCAGTTTGCAGGTGAGCCCACAGCCGGGGGATGCTCCTGGTGCCAGGCATCGCATGGCCATGCCCGGGTGTGGCACCAGAGATTGCCCCTTTTGCTGAGGGGGAACAGGATTAGTTCTTCAGCCGAGTTGCTTTTGGATGGGGCTGGGGGGTTATTGTGAGACGGGCCCTGGCCTTGCTGACAGCCTGTGCCACCCACCCTGTCCTGGGCTGGGTGTGGGGCAGGGGGGAGCCAGCCTGACCAAAACCCCCGTGAGGGTAGCAGAGAAGGGGGTCAGAACTGTGCACCAGCTGGCTTGGTGTGCAGGCAAGGAAGGGCTTGGGCTGCTCCGCTCACCTTGTTTGCCTTGGCTTATGATGAATTGTTGGGGGCAGTGCAGAGGGGTGGGGAGAAGGCATGGCTTTTCCCCACCACTGGGTGGGTTTTTCCCTTGCATGTAATAGTTGGGCCTTGCCAGGGCTTCTGCTGCCCTCTTGGACACCAGTGGCTTCTTCTCCAACCCCAAGTTTGTAACCAAGAGTCAGGGGCCGGTGAGAAGGCAGTGGGTCACAGCGTGTGCCACTGGGGCAGGCCCCACGTTGCCAGGGATGCTGGGGTGAGGCTCTGGGAGCAGGCAGCATCCACCTGATGAACTGCGTCTGTATTCCGCAGGAACACCGTCATACAGCCCGCCAGAGTGGATCTGCTTCAAACGCTACCGCGGCGAGGCGGCCACGATCTGGTCCCTGGGCATCCTGCTCTACCAGATGGTCTGCGGGAAGCACCCGTTCTGCAGAGGCACCAACACCATCTGGGACCAGCTCCCGTTCCCACCACGGGTCTCTCGAGGTGGATACCAATCTTTGTGGCACGGGGGGAATAACGGTGTTGGGAGAGGGCAGCGGGCTCACGAGGACGCCGCTCTTGAAGCTGTTTGTGTCCCATGGTTGGCTGGAGGAGGTGGCCTGTGTCCTGCCATCCTGCTCTCCTCCAAAAGGGAGAATCAATGGAGAAGTTTGGGCACAGCTCTGAGCACAGCCAGCACAGCCTGGGCACGTGGACAGTGGGACAAAGGGGACAGGATCCTTCTCCAACTGACCGGCGATTTTCCCCCCAGGGTGCCAGCACCTTATCAGGTGGTGTTTGTCCATCCGCCCCTCGGACAGGCCATCATTGGAAGACCTGTTGTGCCATCCTTGGGTGCAGGGCATTCACCTGCTCTAGAAGACAGGAGAGATCCACGTGCTCACTTTGATCCAGGGGCCTGGCAAGTAACACCTCCACACATCTCTTGGCAATAAGAAGCAAAGAAAACCAGACTTTTTTGTCGTGCCTGTAGCACTGAGGGGGGGTCAGCACATGGGAACATGCACCTCTTTGTGCTGGAGCTGGGCTGTAGACCCAGTCTTCCAAGTGCTGGTGGCCACCATCCAACCTGGTTTTGCTCATCCTGCTTCACAGACAGCTGGGCCCTCGGCAGAACACTGACAGCCTGGTCTGGCCCCCAGGGAAGGAGAAGGGGCCTCTGGAGAAGCTGTACCGGGTGGGGCTGCTGCTGGAGACATCGAGGACGACGTCAGGGATGACAAGCTCTTTGTTGTTGACCTGGACACCGGCGAGCTGAAGATGATGGACTCTGATTCTGGCCCCTTCCTCCAAGCCGTGCTCCACACGCTGTTTGCAGATGAGTCCACACCCAGGGGGTGCTCCCGGGCATTGCTCAGCCTGGCTGGGCACCGAAGGTTCCCCCTTTGCTGGCGGGGAACCCGATGAATTCTTCAGCCGGCTGCCAAGCTGCTTCTTGGCAGGAGGGTGGGCGGGTGCTCTGGGCTGGGTGTGAAATGGGAGCCCGGCTCTGCCCCCAGCCTCTGCCACTGCCCCTTTGCTGGGCGGGGCTGGGGCAGGGGCAGCCAGCCTGCCAAAAACAAACCCCCGTGGGGGGAGCAAAGGTGGGGCTGCAGAACACCAGCTGCTTTGGGCTGCAGGCCAGGAAAGGCTTGGGCTGCCTTGGCTTAGGAGCCTTTCTTTGGGGCAATGCAGCAGGGCAGGGAGAAGGCCTGGGTTTTCCTGAGCTGGAGGAGGTGGGGTTTTTCTTTGGTGTGGAGGGGTTGGGCCTTCCTCAGAACCCTGACAGAATGTTAACATTTCACCTTTTTTTCTTGTTTCCACTTTTTGTTTGTAATCTCTTGTCATGAATTTGTTGTTTGTTTTCGAGGGAAGAGTTGGAGCTGGTGCCCAGTCTGGATTGGGAAGGGCTGGGACCATCCCTGGAGAGGATCTGACGTCCCCTCTGAGAAGGCTGAGGACATCCTTTGGGACACGCTCTTCTTCCTGCAGCAGATCTTGTGAGGTAGATCCTTATCTTGCCCATCTTGTCAGCAGGAGTGGGATAATGGCTTTGGGGAGATGGCAGCAGGCACATGAACATCTCTTGCAGCTGCTGAGGAGGTTGATCTCCTGGGCTTGGCTGGAGGAGGTGGCACCTGTGTTGAGTAATTTCTGAAATCCAATCGATCTGGGATGACCCCAAATGACAGTTTAGTTTTCACCTTGCTCGAGCTGTATCTCAGCTGTTCTCTGAACAGTTCTCTCCCCCACCTGCCTGTTACTTCCCCACTGCTCCCTCTTTTCCCTGCAACGAGTTCCCAGCTCCTCATGGTCTCCATCAAACCATTGATAGAAGAAATAGAAACTCTACTCCCAGTACCCCAGAGTGCCCAAATGAGGAACAATGTAATCCTGGAGAAGTCCTAGAGAATTAGATAAGGGATGTCCCAAACCAGCAGGATGTAAACTAAGCCCTGTGTACCCAGATAAAAGAAGCACAGTGGTGCTGTGCTGCTCAAGAACTGAGCAGCACAGATGACAGAGAAGGCCCAGAAGGACCAGAAAAGGACTTCCAATAGGGGTGTGACTATGTAAAGCAGAGTAATGAATATGTATTAAGTAAGCAAGGCTATCAAATGCACATGTAAAGAGTGTGTGTAATAAAAAGCCCTGTCTGTCATTTGGCACGTTGGATTAGAGGAGCTCTCCTCTGAACCTCCAGCATGCTGAACAAAGAAGAATGCCCTTTTTAACATCTCCAAATTGGGTTAAGAAGTTTGTTTCTGCTGCTTTTGGGTGTAATTTTTGGCCCCCCAGACAGGACACCTCTGCCTGATCTCCCACAGATCTGAGGGATCACTGGATCTTCATGCCAGCACCAGGACTTTGCTGCAGAAGAGCACAGATCCCCAGCCCAGTCTGGGACACAGGTAAGATCCCACTGGATAATAAGGCATTCTCTTTGGGAATCCTGCCCATGTCAAATGTGTGGATCTTTCAGCACACTGGGTGGGCTCTTTGGTATTTTGGGAATCCTGCTCATCTGAGACCTGTGGATCTTCCAGCCCTTTGGGTGGGTTATTTGGTATTTTGGAATTTGGTATTGGCTTTGTTTTATCGATCAATATTGTTGTGTTCTCATTTGTTTCTGTATTGTAACATTTTGGGTCTAGTGTTTAGAGATGGGGAGTGGGCAGTCTGAAGGGGGAATTGTGAAGAAGTCCCCACTTGGTTGCATTTTGCAATTTTGGATGAAGTTTGGTGGCCCCCCCGGAGGAACAGCTCCCAGGGAGAATTTAATGAAGTGTTGTAATCAATGGGTGGCTGTTCTGGAACATTGAATTCTAATCCATTGTTACAGTTGGTGCTGTTTCAGAACAGGAACAGAAGTGGAAGGAGGTTCTGTGCATTGATGTGTTTTTCACTTTGCAGAACCTGTGAAATGGCAGAAGGATTGTGGTGTGAATGCAGCGCCCTCAGAGCCCTTGGTGTGAGCCCGGAAAGGAAAATCAAGGGAAATGGTTAAAGCCTTGTTGTTCAGTGTGGAGCACAGGAGAACTTTGTTCTCATCGTCTCCCCGATAAGGAGGAGGACTCAGATCTTCTGGTTGGCCCCACGGGCAGGTTGAGTGGGGGAACAGAGAATCAAGATGCAGAAACCAATCTTGCAGGGGAACTGGCATGTGAAGAGGCAGCTTTAGCATGTCCAGAAGAAAAGGGAGAGAGAATGTGTCAGAGAGAGAGCAGAGAGCTTCAGTGCAGCTGCAGGAAGAACTAGAGCTGAACAAGGAGGGCTGGGAGTGGCCCCCCTGTGTGATAGAACCCAGACTAAATGGCAAAAGCCTTCAAAATGATGATTCAAAGCCAGGATCCAGGCTAGAAGGATCCTATGTTAGAAGTGTTGTTTGGTAGTAGGGAGAAAGCAATGGTTGTTAAAACCAGTCAGAGGTTTTTGGAAGAGCAGATTTTGGTGGGGAATATCCAGGGTACATTGGACATTCCCTTTCCCACTGCAGATCCTGAATGGGATCCTAACATCCCTATTTTTAGAGAAAGGTTCAATAGATACCTGCAGTGGATGTTGTCTGCAATGAAACATGCCAGGCCAAAGGCAATGAACACGTCAAAATTCTCTGCAATGAAGCAGGATCACAGGGAATAGCCTACTGAATTTTTAAATCCTCTGGAAGAAACAGCACAAAAATATACTAATATCCATCCTGGAACACAGGGGGGAAGGACTCAACTGGCCCCCATATTTGTGGGGCAGTCCTCAGATGTGGTTAGGAGGGAATGACAAAAAGCTGAGGGACAAGATCAGTCTAATTTGGGGACACTGTTGGAGGTTGGGAGAATCAGCAGGAATCAACTCAGCAGGAAGGAGTTGCAGTTCTGGAAGAAATCCCTGAGGAAATGGTGCCCCCGGGGAGAGGAAGAGGATGAGAGCATGGGCAGCCTGCTTCAAACACCCCCCCCCAGGAGACTTGGGATCAATCCCTGTGCATCCTGTAAGAAAGATGGACACTGGAAATGGGATTGTCCACAACTGAAACTTCAGAACCCTCCCAACCCTCTCCTGGCATCACTGCAGACGACTGAGGGGGCACCAGAGGATTCTTCCCCATCAGAACATCTGGTTCCAGCCAAGCTAAGTACAATTGGTTGTGGCTGTGGGAACTTGTTCCCCTGTCTTAAATAAGGGAAAATGAAACTCAAGTCACAATTCTGGAACAATTGTCTGGTGTGCCAGGGAATTGGGAAACTGGGCCATTTTTAATGCTGTGGATTTGAAATTGGGAAAACAGTGGTTGGCTCCCCAGTGTTTGTATTTCCCCAATTCCCCAAAGCCTCTGCCTGGGAGAGATCTCTTGGCAAAATTAAATGCCACAATCCAATTTAAAAATGGTCAAATATAGGTTATTATTGCAGAGCCTAATTCTGTGGAAGGTTCTAGTTTTGCATGAGAGTCTCCAAAAGCAGAACTAATCCATCTGCCAACGTCACTTGGGGATGCAGTGATTCCAGTAGGATGGGCTGGAGAGGTGCCTCCATGATCCAAAAGAGCAGAACCTGTGAGAATTCCAGTGAAACCTGGAGTGGGGTTGGTCAGGCCAAAGCAATAGCCTTTGAAAATGGAAAGTTGTGAGGGATTCTCACTCTCTGTAGAAAAACTGATGAAATTTTGCTTGTTAAAAGAATGTGAATCTAAATGTAATGCTCCAATTTTGCCAGTCAAGCAGGCAAATGGAAGGCTATGCCAGTTAGTCCAAGACCTCAGAGCTATAAATGATAGAGTAGAAGATATACAAGCAGTTGTAGCGAATCCTTACACTTTGCTAACTCCCCTAAATGAAAGTTTAATGTTTCACAGGATTAGATTTGAAAGCTGCCTTTTTCTGTCTCCCTTTGAGTTGTGAAAGTCAAGAGCTTTTTGCTTTCAGATGGGAAAATCCAAAGACAGGGAGGAAAACCCAGCTGACTTTGGTGGTCCTCCTGCAGGTGATGCCAGCTCAGCTGATGCTAAGGAAAAACCTCAGGAGCAGTTAATTGAGTGTGAGATAAGGAAAGGGTTTGATTTGTGCCAAGGCACAGATGTTACAGGATGCATGCCCGCTGTGCCTGAGATGTGACATTTTATAATACTACCTGTCCATCCCAAGTGTTTCCACCCCGTAGCCTTTGCTCTGGTCTGCCCCGGGCCCACTCCCTGGGAATTGAGTCTGGGGTGCATTTCGGGACCCTCTCTTCATCCCCATCACCATCCTCAGAGCACAAAGGGTACACGGTCACCCAGTTCTTGACTCTGTTCTGTTGTTCAGGCCAAGATAGGAGTGTTCTCTAAACAGCATAGGCCTTGCCTTGACAAGAGACTAAACATTTCTACTGAATTCAGGGGTAGGATTGATATGGGGAGCATGGAATGGGGTAGGAGGGTTGAGGAATGTGTAAACTAAAGGGTGCTAAAGGGTGAGGAATACAATATAGCTACTTCTAAAATCTACTTCTGCTATAATTACATATAAAGCTTATAAAAATTAACAAAGTCAAAAAAAACCCTAAAAGGGTCTTAAGGCATCACAGGGGTTTAAAAATATCCCCCCAGTATTTGGAACTCAATTGGCAAAGGAACTGGAGGAATGGAAAAGTCAAAACCCTCTTGGAGCCTTGTTCCAGTGTGTGGATATTTTGACAGCCACTGATGCTGAGCAGCAATGTTGGGATCAGACACTATGGAATTTCCTTGGACTGGGTGGATATGGGGTGTCCCAAACACAAAGTGCAAGTAGTCCAGACCCCAGGAGCCTCCCTGGGCTTTGGAATTCTCCAAGGACAAGGGAGGCTGGGCCAGGAACAAAAGAAGCAACCTGTCAACTGCCCCAGCCCCAGCAAAGGAAGCCCAGAGCGGGATTGCTTCCAGACTAGAGGAGAAGTGTATTTGGGCAGAGCTGACTCAGGAGACAGCCCCTGGGAAAGTCCTGGTTGGGAATTGTTTCCCAGTGGGGGCAGCTTTGTCCAGCATGGAAAACAATTCTCTGGATGCACAGGAACTCCCCCCAGCAGGTCATGGAATTGGGGGCACTCCTCTGCAGTGCCTCAGCCCAGAAAGCAGAACCAATTGTGCTCACTCCAGCTTTGGGATTGAGTCAAGGAGAACAAGTTAATCCTTGGACTTGCTTGAAGATCTCCAGAAACCAACAGAGGCTGCTGTCCTGCATTGCAGAGTGCACCAAGAGGGGGAGACCAAAGCAGAACTGGGGAATCATTTGGCCCATAATTCTTCCAAAGAGGCTGCAGAAAAAGGCACTTTAGAGAGTAAAGTTTTGTCTTTAATAACCCTGACAGAGATACCTCTCCCAGTAGAAACAAATGAGTCTAGTGCTAAGGATTGTCAGCTCATTGAAACCTTAGAGCAAAATTTGCTCCAGGAGGCTGGGCAGTTACCCCAGGTGGGCAAATAAT